ATTTTTGGCGACGCTTTTTTTAAATTTAAAATTGAATATTTTTCAACTAAAATTTTATTTTAAGCGCCGCAGACGAAAAATTTTAAAATTTTGAAAAAAATTTTAAAATTTTCAATTATAAATGGATTTGGGGAAATAACAGAGGTATTGAGGGAATTTAGGATTAACAGAGTTATCGATGTGAGTAATGAGTTATTTGGGGAATTAATAGAGACATAGGGTATTATTTTACATTTAAAATTGGTGGATTAAGGGCTACGGGTTGGGAATTACAAGAGATATTGAGGGATTTATTGATTAATCCCCTATATCCCCTCTAATCCCAAAATCCTTCAAGGGCGTATCCAGGGGGTTAGCTTCAGGGGGGCATGTGAGTTTTTACAATTGTTTACAACTCTTTCTCTCTTAGCGCCGCAGGCGAAAATTTTGTAAATTTTGAAGGTCCTTAAGCTAGATTTCTTCCATTTCCTGCGCCGCAGGCGAAACTTTTGAGAATTTTAGAAGGCCGTAGGCCAAAAAATTAACTTTTTCAGCGCCGCAGGCGAGAATTTTGACAATTTGGGAAGGCCAAGCAGCCGAAATTCTTCTTTTTTTCAGCGCCGCAGGCGAAAATTTTTTTAATTTTCAATAAAAAATGGTAAATTTTATAGATTTTGGCCTTAGTTTGGGCTTAAAAAATTGTTTCGTTTCGTTGAAAAATCACAGGTGTTTCGTAACGAAACGAAACGAAACAAATTAAAAAGTGTTTCGTGACGAAACGAAACGATACTCAAAAAAACCCACGAAACATACGAAACAACGAAACGAAACGAAACGTTTCGCCCACGTCTGTTTTCAACCGCCTGAGCTGGCTATGGGAATCAGCTCCTTGAGCCATACTCAGAACTGGTAAGTATTGCTACCAATTATTCTATATTATTTTATATTCGGCATTTAAACATATTTTTATTTTTATTATCACGATAAAGCACAGTTTGTTGGGTACCGTTTTATCTAGTTTATTCATTTATTGGTACATTGGCTTTAGTACATAAAATTTTCTATTGCGAAATTTGTCAAAATTAAAGTTATATACCCGTATTCAAAAGATTTTTGGTATTTAATTGGGTTATTATTTTAAAATTATTTTTTATTTCTAAATTTATTATCTTTAAATAGGGGATATAAGAAGATTAAAATTATGGAGTTTTTTTTAATATTTTAGATATTGAATGAGCGTTTTTATCTATAAAATAAATATTTTTATACAATTTTAAAAAATAAATCCCCACATTATTTTGGGAATTATTTAAAAGAAATTATTAAAAATATAATTATCGTACTTATTATGATAAATTCCCCGTGGTTATTTTTTAACTCGTTCATTTTATGAAGTTATATTAGAGACCACGGTTCAAAAAGAGATGTTAATCTACTAAAATAAATAATTATATATTAATAACAATTATCTAAAAATATATTTTTAAATGTCGTAAAAGCTCTAATTAGAGCCCTGCTGCAATACTATCTTTTGTATTTTTTTGAGAGATTTTTGACATCTTAAAAATTTTTAAATGCCGTCAGGGGGAGAACTTACAGTAATTATTAAATTAAAGTTTTGCATAAATAGAATTAATATATATAAAAATAAAGATAAAAAAGAATAATAAAAATATTTATCTTTCAAAATAAATAAATACATATTTCTAAAAATATATAAATATATTTAATTATTCCTTTAAAAAACAAAATAATTTATTTATTTAGAACCTTTATTTTGCTTTATTAATTTAACTTTTTAAGTTTATTATTTATTAATTGAGAAAAAAAACAAAAAAATGTATAATTCAAAAATTACATAAAGTTAAAATTAAAGACGGTGAAAAGAAATAATTTTGTAACTGAATAATTAATTAAATAATTTAACTATATACAGTGTTGTTCAAAAGTATATCCGCAGTTGAAGAAATTGCGTAACTCGGGATGATGCTAAAGCCATAGAGTATTAACAGTTTTTCAAATGCGGATATAATTTTGAACAGCAATTGTAGTATATGTATTATTCCGATTTATAAGCAACACTTAATAATATTTTTAAAAATTGAAAAAAATTTTTAATTTTACCAGACTTAAAGCTAACTAAATTCATTCAAGAATCTTCTTAAAAATAATGAGTAATAGTAGTAACGCCGAACTATTAGCTACAAATGATAAATTAATGCATACTATTGTAGATACATTTCAACTAGTATTTACCATTTTATGTGCCCTTTTTTTAATTATAATTATTCGTCCTCTATATAAATTTTCAAAAAAGCGAACAGCTCTTTATATTCTTTTTAGCAAGGTTTTTTTAATTAAAAAAAATTAGGTACTTTCCCATTATACGACCGCAAACTGAGTGCCAGCGGAAACTGAGCAGCTATAACTTTTTGAGGGACACGCACGAAATGTCGCGCGGCCATAATGTCGCCGAGCCATAACTTGCTTTAAGATTTCCGAATCTTTCCAAATTTAGTATTAAACGATTCCTCTCATCGAGCTAAAGAGATTGATACCAAAATTGATAAGGGCAAGAAATTTTTTAGCAAGTTATGGCTTGGCGACATTATGGCCGCGCGACATTTCGGGCTGTACCCACTTTTTGATGCTTGATCCAATATAATGAATTTTATATCATCAAAAGCCCTCAATACGCTCTCTTTTTTCCAACTTAATGGATCAGGTATGATACCAATTAAAAAGTTATAACCTGATAACTGTGAAAAACACCAAATAACTTTTCGATATTAACTTATCAGGTTATAACTTTTTAAGGAGTGATCAGACTTGATCTATCTATTAGAAAAAATAGCATATTGAGGGCTTTTGAATGATATAAAATTAATTTGTAGTGGATCAAGCTTCATAAATTTATAGCTGTTCAAAGTCGGCTGGCACTCAGTTTGAGGTCGTATGACAGAAAGTACCGAAAAATAATTTTAAATAATATTTCAAGTCTTGTGCAAATATTTTATATCAAATTCGTCAAATATACGTTAATTTCTATAATTATTTTAAATTCTCCACCTCTTTTTGGAGCTCTTTTTTTATTTTACCCAGTGCAATAATTTTATTAAATGCTGCTTATTTTCACATAATTGGATTAGCTTTAAATCGTTTTCAGGCCGTTTTCTTCCCTTTTAGTTATCAAAAAATATGGAAATCAAAGTTTATATTTAATTTAAAAATTAAAAATATTTTCTTTCAGAAATATAAAATATATTATTTTAATTATTTGGGTAATTAATTTTATTTGGAGTTCTCTACAATATATCTCTTTAATTCTGGGAATTGCTGAAAGTGGAATTTTAAAGTTTAAAAATATTATTTTAATTATTAAATTAATTTATAAATTAACAGTCCTCTTGTTTATGGTATATTTATGGAAGGGGATTTGGTTATTTTGTTATCCTTAAGTATATCTACCCCATTATATACGGCAACTTTGATAAAATTTATTTATGATTATAGTAAGTGTTTTTAATTATTGGAGAGTTTTTGTTAGTAAAATATTTATTCTTGGAAGGATTTCTTTCCCAAATTAATTAATATTTGGTATTTTTCCGTTATCTCCTCACTTTTATCTCCCTTTTATTTTCTTCTTTTTTCTAAAAGTTATGAATTGTCATGAACTATGGCGATAAGTGCCCGGTTCTGTATTTTAGAAGCTATGGTTCGGTATTGTGTGTGTACCATAACTCTGGGTGAGTTTCTATTCCATTAAAATTTGTGAATCTTCCTTAGGAAATAGCGCCATAATTTAACGTCATAAATTCGTAGGAAAAAGGAGAAAAGAAAATAATATGAAAGAAAACGGAAAAGTACTTAAAATATTTTTATATTTTATTCGGGAATCTTGATTTTAGTTTTTCAAACCAAGGTTAGTAAAGCTAATAACTTTGTTAGCCAAAACTCTCTTTTCGGGGCTTGACTTTATTTAATATAATTAAATATTTATTTAAAAATTAATTAAAAATATTTTTTGAAGAATACAAACAAAATTTATCTTCAAATCAAAATGCCCAAAAGGACCGAGTTTTTGTCTTTATTATTTGTTTAATAAGCTTAATTCCTTGTCCAACATTAATTGGCCTATCCAAATTAGGTTCATTTATTACTGACAACATTCAAAATATTTCTGCAATAATTATTATAAATATTTTGTATAATTCTTTTTATACAATAATTCAATTTATTGAGGAAATTTGTTTAATTATTTACTCAAAAGATTTTTATAAATTAGTTAAAAAACAATTTATTAAAAATTCTTCACAAAATCCCATTGTTAATACAATTTTTGTTAAGCCGTATTCACAACAAACACAATTAGTAAATCAAAATATGCAATAATTTTAAAAATAATAATTTAAATATTATTGTTATTAATTAAAATAAATAAATAAATATTTTTTTAAATTTTTATTACAGTAAAACAAAAATTTTTAATTTCCAAAACACGTTGGAAATAGTCTCTGAATTTCAGAATTCGGGGAGACTCTGAATTTCAGGGAGATTTTAAATCTCTCTGAAATTATAATTTACCGACGACATATAGTATGTACAAGCTGGGATAGGCTATTGGCGATTGCCATCAGGGCATAAGATAAGTTTCTGAGATTTTGCTAGAGTTTTTCTAGATGATATTTCTGATATACTTCCAAGAATTTTTGCCTCTATTGGCAAGATATCGTCTGGACAGTTAACAAAATATTGAAGTCTCTCATTTTCTGGAGCCTCTCCTCCTCTCATGGAGCCTCTCACCTAATGCTACGTTTACATAAAAATTGCGTGCGTCTTGCGACAGAAAAGATAACGGGAAAGCAGGAATGAAAAGTCGCGCGCAATTTTGTCTCTCAATTTTTTGAATGCTATTTTCGTTCGCAAGACGTAAATCAATTTTATGTCCACGTAACGTTAATATTTATTTTTGTTAGCCTGTTTGTTAATTTTTTTTAAATTTTTTACTCTTAATTTTAACCTTTTTTGATTTTAAAAATGTATTATTATTTAACTTTTTCAATATTATCTTTAATTTTTGTTATGAATTATTCCATTTTATGTTTGCCAACAAAAGTAGAAAAATGTGTTGCCGACTATCTTTTAGTTAATAAAGATGTCAAAACAAAAATTTTTGCTGAAAAAATTGGAGAAGAATGGATTGTTAAAAGAGGGGTAACTACAGGAGAACTTTTTACTGATTTTTTGATTGATAAAGAAGTAATGTTAAAATCTATGAATAAAAGTTATAGAAAAATTTGTTCGAAAGTTTTAAATAAATATTTGAGTGAAAAATATAATGAAAAATATAATGAAGGTTACTTTAATAAAATTAAAAATTATATTTATTGGTGGAATGAAATAGATGAAAATACTTTAAATATTCGAGAGTTATTTACTGAAAATAAAAAAGATTATTTAATTGTATCTGAAAAATATCAGAAGAAGTTAGGTAAAAGGAGATTTATGAAATATTTTTTGTTTAATAAAGGATAAATAATCTGGCTGGTTTTAAACAAAAAAAACTTTTTTTTAATTATTTTTAAAATTCGATTAAAACTAAAATGGCGATCGGTTAGAATCTAACCATGATCGGTTAGATTCGAGTAATAGAAACAAAATTATGATGACGAATCCTCGATTGAAAGGCCTTTTGTGCTGTTACAAGGGGTTAGAACAAACGGTCATGACTGCTAAGTTGATTAGGTCAAATCTCGATGATTTTTGTGCCAATCTACTCAGCTTGAAGAGCTCTTTCAAATGATTTATCGGAAGAATAGGGGTGGGGGTTCTGTTGTGTTATTCAGTTGTAAAATTCTGTTTTAACAAGATTTCTTTATTTAATACTTAACAAAAAGTGTAATTTTAGAAGATCAGTCAATTTGTTTAACTTCATTTCTTTTAAAACATTTTGGATTTGATGGACATTATTTTGAGGAAAAAGTACCAGAAATAATCAGAAATGGAGAGGATAAAATTAAAGATAATTTTAAAATATCCCGAGAAAATGAATTTTATGCTTTTAGAGCCGAATTTATGGGAGATTATAATGAAATAGTTAATCACGAATTTAAAGAAGGGCAAATTGAAGAATTAAATAAATGCATAGAAATATTAAATATTAAAAAATGGTTTTTAAATTTTTATAATGTTTTGAAATAATTTTTAATCCTTTTTAACCTGATATTTTAAATAGAGTTGTACCCCGACCCGTACCCCGATTATATTTTTCTCCCCCGCTCTGAAACAATTGAAAAACTCCGTGCCCCGACACACCCGCCCCCCATCGTTTGGAAACACTAATTTTAGGAGGAAGTAATTCGATTCATTAGCATTCGAAACAGTCTATTAGGCTAATACTGTTATTATTTTTGGTTACCCAAAACCTATTTTTCATAATTTGGTAGACCTGAGAATTTCTTTCTGTGACGATCAAATTTTAATTTAATCCCCTTTAATACCTACAAACTCATTTAAATCTTGTTAGAAAATTAAAAAAAAAATTATTTTTTTGATAATTAAAATATTAAAAATTAATATATTAAGTTATCATCATGTCAACATTCTCGATGCATTATATAACCGTTTTGATCCAACACAATTTTACTATAAAAAATTACCAAAATGTTTTATATATTTTAATTAATAAATTAAAATTAATTTTTAGTTGAGGGGACCTTTGAAATTAAAGAAAATGATGGGATTCTATGTGCAATTTGTCGTGATAATATTGAAGAAGGTCAACTTGCACAATTAACTCCTTGTGGAGTAAATCTTTTATTTAATTTAAAAAATTAATTTATTTAATTAAAAGCATATTTATCACGTTAATTGTTTTTGGACTTGGTAAGGGGGTATTTTTAAATAATTTATATATTTTAATTAATATTTAAGGTATAAAGATCACCATGATTGTGTAATTTGTCGTAATAAATTTGATATTAAATTTATTGGATTTTTAGATCCTCCTACCGAAAGTAAGATAAAATATTCATTTAATACTTTTAATTATTTTTTTAGCAAATGAAGCAAGTTCAAACAATAACTGGTAAATAAATTGAGTATTGTCCAGTGGTTGGAAGCTCGTACCAAAATTTGTACTCGTACTTTGCGAAGTACGAGTAAGAGAAAAAAATAAGGCATTTACGAAAGTACGAGTACGAGAAATTTTCAAAATTCCAACCACTGGAAAATTTGAATGAACTTTTTTTAATCATTATGAGAGGAGAAAGGGAAAATTATTGAAAAAATTGAAAAAAAAATTATTGCCCTCCAATTAAATTAATTATACATTTAGCATTCTGATTTCCGGGATTTCTTTTATATTTTAATCACGAACTGTCCTTCAATTAAATTAATTAATTAATTAATTACACATTTTTGTTTTATTTTATAGATAAGAGAATGTTGATAAAAGGATTTTTGAAAAAAAAACAAAAATGAACGGAAGATTGAGATTTAGGATGTTTTTAATTTTTAGATTATTAAAAGTATTTTAATTTATACTCTTTTTTTTTCTAATTTTCTAATTTTTCTAATTTCATTTTTCTAATTTAAAAAGTGCAACATTTACCTTCTTTTTAACAAAAACTCCTTCAATATATCATTTTACTTTTTTTTTATTTTAAACAAGTATTTACACAAAAAAACTTTAAACATTTGTTTCATTTTCCGAATCAATTTTTATTTTTTTTTAATTTTACCAATTTTCAAACAGAAATTCCTTTCTTTTTTCAATTTTACTTTTAAAATGACTCATTCATTTTTTTATTTAAATAAAACGAAATAGTGGTTGCTATTATTTTTTTAATTCTTTAAAATTATCAGTAAATATAAGTAAATAGGTGTATATAAGAATATATACGTATTATTTTTCTATTCCAAAAAATTTTTTATCATATACTTTTACATGAAAACACAAAAATTACATATATATTGATAAAAAGTTTTATTTACAATAAAAAAATCTTTTAGTATTTTCAAAATAAAAATATTAGGTATATTTACCTTATATTTTCTTCATAAACATATTTTTAAATCAATCTTTTAAACAAAATTATACAAAATTCTCCAAACTAGTTTTTATTTTAAATATTTCTAATCGAGAGAAAAATAAAAAAAAATTTTCTATTAATTCCCATGACAACCACACAAAAATTACAATGTAATGAAAGTTAATTGATTATATTTACCTTTGTTTGAAAAATATTTAAAGTTTTTTTTCTAAATTTATAAATTTATTTTGGAGCTCGAAATTATTCAATTTCTTTTGTCAAACTAAGTTTAAATCTGCAAAAATTTTCTGCTAAGGAAGAAAACTTGCCAAATTATAGGAATTTTAAAATCGAAAACTTAGAAAGTCGGGGCAAATTTTTGAATGAAAATTTTGAATGGGCAAATGATAAATCTTTCTAAAGAGCTCTTTTACCTATGTCGAATGAGACAAAACTCATTGTGACCAGAAAAGTTTTTTTGCAGATTTTAACTCGGCTTTATGAAAAAATTTAATAATTTCAAGCTTTTCAAAAATTGAAAACCCCATTCACATGTTTTTTTAATTTTTTAGAAATTTTTAAAATTCTATTTAAATAAATGGGAGGCCTTTCATTAAATACTGGTTATTTACAAACAAATAGAGGAGTTATTAAAATTTTACAGGTATTTAAAAATAATTAGAGAAATTCACTTTTTTGACCTCGCAGGCGAAACTTTGTTAAAATGTACCACACTTCGGTTATTCTTTCTAAAATCCTCAAGAAAGTTAAGACCAAGACTTGGCCCCAAGACAAACCCAAAACCGAAACCCCCAAGAAAAGTCTTGGGTTAACCTGAACGTCTTTAGAAAGAAGGGGGTTCTTTGTTAATTTACGAGGGGAACAATCAGATCTATCGCAGCTGGCTCCATCAAAGAATTTATAACCTTTATCACTCAATTTTGGAATTATTCACAGTCTGAATAATTACTAATTTTAAATAAAATTTAAATATCCACTTTTTGTATAATGTAAGGAGGGGCTTGGAAATTAAATAAATAAATTATATTAACTAATTTTTAAAGATTATTTTTGGATTTATTGTTTGTTCTTTGCTTTGTTATTATTGGTATGGAGGAAGAACATGTTTTTATGAGGGTATAAATAAATATATAAAATTTAAATTTAAAATTAATTTATTTTTAGGTAGATTGGGGTTTGTGAGCGGTGTAAATTTTATTATTGTCATCATTAATTTAGTTTTATTTGGTAATTAAATGTTAATTAAATTAATTAAAATTTTTTAATTTTTTAATAAAATATATTTAATTAAAATTTTGAATAATTTTTTTAAAGTTCTAAGTTTACTCAATGTTGCAAATTATAAAATGGAAAGAATTTATTCGATTGTTGGGATGGTCCTTTTTATTATTGCTTTTGCTATAATGTTTTGGTATTTAATTAATAATTAATTAAATATTCGAAACCTTTAAGTTAATTCGTGATTTAATTCGTGACCAGAGGTGGGTCGGAACAGTCAGAAGTGTCGGAAATATGAAGAGCCGGAAATCGGAACTGGCTCAAAAGTCGGAAATCGGAATTCCGACCCACCTCTGTTCATATCATTTCAGTCGGTGGAATAAAAGATTTTAAATTAAAATCCTTAAAATCTTTATTAGAACTCTTAATCTATTTTTAACATAAACTATAAAATATAATTAAAAATAAATAAATATTTTTAGGTATTTAATTGAATATGAATTCAATCATAGCCAACAACACATTGCTGCAACGGTTATTAATTTACATAAATTAATTTTTAACTAAATATTTTATTTTAAGATACTTGTTGGAATAATAATGGGATTATTTATTTGGGACTATAAAATTCTGCATGGAGACGCATTTAACTAAAAATTGAAGGAAGGAAATATTGAAAAAAATATTTTTAAAGATTTTAACCTCCTTTATTTTCAAAAAATTTTATATTAAAATAATCTTTATAGATAAATTTAAAATTTTATTTTAAATTTTTAATTTTTCATACTAAGGAGGGGTTTTGCATTTAATAAAATTTTTACCTATAGCTTAAATCCTAATTAAATGATACCTAAATTAATTGTTACAAAATTTAAGTTTATTAAATAAATTAATTCTTAGAGAAATATAATTTATTAAATTAAATGAATCGAAATTGGAGACCGTACCGTACTACGGCCGTATTTTTCGTTACTTATCGGTATTCCGTATTGGTAATACAGTACGGAAAAACTTAAATACCAATCATCTCTCAAGTTTTATTTTATTTTAGAGGAAGGAATTTTTTAATTTAAAATATTTTTAAATTTTTTATAACACAAACAAATAACAAAAAAAAACAGGTTTTTAATTTTAATATGTTTATTTAAATTAAATTAGATTAAAATATAATTTGGCAATTATTTGAGACAAAATATAAATTAAAGAAAACAAAATATCGAAACATTAATATCTCCCCTATCAATTATATGTACTTGTTAATGTACTTTTATTTTTGTGTTTAATTTTTTAAATTAATTATCAAAACAATTTTAAATTTAAAAATTAATTCTTAATGAAATATTTAAAATATAAATTAAATTAATTTTCGACACTTTATTTTTTATTGAATCAAATTTTTGGTTAAATATTTGGCAAAAAAATTAAATAATTGTGAAACCTTTAGCGTAAAAATCAAAGAAATTTAATTTTATCTATCCAAGCTAGGATTATTGGTTCTTGGAAAATCTTCGGATATCCGGAACCGAAGAGAGAAAAATCATCGGTTCTTCGGTTCGAGTCGGTCCAAAACCGACTCTAGTTATACCACCAGAGTTTTATGTATCTCGCATGCTTGCTGAAGGTTAAGGCAAAATCTCGTATTTTCAAAAAATTTCTTGGGTAAGATAAAAAGTTTTAATAATCCAAAACAATTTTAGACACAATTTTATGTGTTTGTTAAACTTTTAATTTTTATTTAGTATATAATTTAATTAAATAATTAAAAAATGAATATTAAATCAAAAATTCCCGAATATGTAAAAACTAATCGTTTTATTATTAAAATATTTCAGGTTTCCTTAAAAATATTTTCTAATTTTTAAAAATTTAATTTTAAGATATTTTGTGGATTAATTGTACATTATAGTATTGGATGTCTACAATGGGATGGATTGTGTTTTAAAGAAGGTAGCATTTTTAAACTTATCGGATCGCTGAATTCTATAAATTTCTTCCTATTCTAACCAATTTTGAGCTTTTTATCCAACGAAAATTTATAAAAAACTGATCACGAATCCGTAGGCAGGTTTTTTTGAAACAAAAACACCCGAAAACCAAGGGATAGATTGCTGAAATTTTTAGTATGCAAATGGTGAATGATTTGAAAGAGCAGATTGAGTTGAGTTAAATTATAACAAAATTATTTAACTGTCAGTCGGTTAATTCAATTTCCCATAGTCTTTCTTGGTGTCATTCAATTCGGCTTGATAAGCTCTTTCAAATATAGGGAAGGTGGAAAATCAGGAAAGTACCAAATATTTTAATGGATCCCAGGCCAATTGGAAAATTATAAAAATTAAATCGAGACTAATTTAGATCGAAACAATATTGTTGCTATGATTAACTTTAGTATTATATTATTAAATACAACTTTATATGGTCTGTTTTAGAAAGTTTTAATTTCAAAAATAATTTATTTATTTATAGTTTTAAATTTTTTAAAAGTGAATACTGTGAAATTTGAAAAATATTCTATAATAATTTGTAATGTAAGTTTAGTAGTAGCTATTGGATTCAGGCAATGGTAAATTCTAAATTATTAAAGAAATATTTTGTAAAAATAATCTCACAAATTCTTAAATATTTATTAAACTCAGAAAGGAGTTTCCTTGATGAAATCTGGGAATTTGTAAAAAATCATTAAATTAAAATATGGATAATTATTCTCATGAAAAGAGAGCTCTAATTATGCATATTTTAAATTAATTAATTTTTGCGGATTTAATGTTTCTCGAACTTTAATTTGTATCAAAATTAGCCCATAAATTACAAATATCCTTTTAAAAATTTTAGAACAAATTAAAATAATTTTAGGTTTTTGATTAAAATACACAAAAGTGCAGATGTATATATATTTGATCCAATAACAGTAAGGGAATAAATAATATTTATATTTTTTTATTTTAAAAAACAGATGTATATTTGTTTTATTATTTTTTTCTTTATTTGGGAATATTTAATTATTACAAAAAGAGCTTTGAATAATGAAGGAGAAAGGAAAAATAATTGCAATATTATTAATGGAAAAGTTTGGAATTTTGAATAATAAAAATTTTAATTTTTTAGAAAAATATTACAATAAATATTAAATATTCTCATGGAAAGAGGGCTCTCATTAAATTATTACAGGTAAAAACACGGAGATAATTTTATAAGCTGCTAATTATGATTAGAAAATTTTTTAAATTTGTTTTTAGATAATATTTGGAATAATTATCTTTGGAGTAAGTGCTATTATCTTTGGAACAGGTGGTCTTTATTCAACTACTTACAACCTTGCAGGTAAAAATCATATTTTTTTGATTAAAGAGAATAAAAAATTATTTTTAAAATTTTTTAAATTTTAGATTTATCATTATTTGTATATATCATCAACCTTATTTTTGTAATTATTAATATTGTGATTGTAGGTAATAAAGTTCTAAATATAATTTTTACATAAATTGAAGCTGGGCAAATCATATTTAAAAACTGGGTTTTAAAACTAGAGACAGGAGTTCAAAGCTTTTAAAATATTTAAGTTATCGCCAGGGATCAAGGATTGGGAGTAATAAGATATCCCAAGATATCCTCTTCAATCCTCGATATCCTCTTAGCCCTCCAAACCCTCTTATATTTATATAATTTTATTTTAAATTTAAGTTATAAATTATTTCAATGGCGCTTACTATAAATTTGAGAGAATTTATTCAATTGTTGGAATGGTCCTTTTTAATATTTGTTTTTTATTTATGATTTGGTAATTAATTTATTTACATAAAAATATAAATTTTACTCAAATCTATTTTCTATATTTATTTTACCCTACTCGAGGTAGCCTTTCCCAAAACTTAAAAATCGGGCAAAAATAGGGGAATGTTCAACATTTGAAATAAATAAAATCTCAAATAATAAAGCATTATGCTGCTTATTTTTCACGTGTTTTAATTGAATTGAGCAAATCGGGATCATAAATAAAAAGATCGTATACCTGGTACGAATTGATACAATGAAATTAATTAATCTGTCCTTTATTCTGTTCCTCTTTTTCACACTCTTTTCGTACATGTCCTACCTAATTAAATATTCTGATTTCCTCGACTTAGTTTAGGTGTTTTTAAAACACTTTTTGTGGAATTTTTCTGAGTTTTTTATTTCAATTTAAAATTAAAAATTTAAAGGAGAATACTATTCTGATAAACACTAGAAATTTAAATTTAGACATTAAATTAATCTTTTTTTTAGTTTCTTAATTGCAAATCACTACATTCTTAGACAATCAACTGTTCATGATATTTCATTGTTTATTACATCCTTGGTTAGTTTATTTGATATTTTAGTATTATTTAATTTTATTTAAAGCATCTTAATGGAATAATGACTGTTCTATACTTATTTGATTTTATAATATTGAAGAAAAAATTAGAAAATTAAAGATAATTTTAAAAATTTATTGGATTTTAAGAATATAATTTTAAATAAAACATAAAGATTCGGAAAACTTATAGTAATTTATTATTTTGGCAGTATTAATCTTCAAAACATTAACAAGTATTAAACGAAAATTGAGATTCTTCTGACAAGAAAGTTTTAAGCGATAATTACACCCTTAAAATATTTTTCCAGTAGAAGATAATAAATTGTTTTCTTTCCGAGTTTATCTTTTCCTTTTGAGTTAGGAACCATTGAAGATCATTAGGATAATTCTAAAATTTCAAACTATACAAAATTCGGTAAAGATTTCCTTTGATTATTTTGTCTTTAAATTATTGAAGTCTTTAATTTGTTGAATTTAAGTGATTTTTGATATTAAAAGAATGTCAAAAAATAGCTATCAATTCTTTTCAAAGATTAGGACTACATCAAGGAATCTCAACCTCAAAAAAGTCGAGATTAAGGATTGCTCCCCAAGACAATACCAAAACCAAAAAATCTTTGTTTCAAAACCAGAAGTAAATGAAATCTTTGTAACAACCCTAAGTCGGGTCCAGTAAAGATGGCCTGTGTCGGTATTCCGATATAAAATTTGTAGCGATATTTTGAGATACAAACATACTATATAAAAAACAAGTTTCTGATTTTTAATTTAATTTAATTATAATTTGACAAATAAATTATGTGAGCGACAAATATAATTTAAAATTTTTACAATCTTGAAAACAAAATATCAAAAATTTATTTCTTATTAAATTTGTTTAATTTCAACTTGTTGATGTACTTTTATTTTTGTTTAATTTTTAATTTATTATTTAAATATTTTTAATTTTAAATTAACGAAATATAAATTAAATTAATTTTCGAAGATTAGAATTTAAAAAAAAACTAATCTTTTATTTTAATTTCAAATAATTTATCAGAAATTAAAAATGAATATTAAAGCAATAATTCCCGAATATGTAAAGACTGATAATTTTATTATTAAAATATTTCAGGTTTTTAAAAAATATTTTTTAATTTTTAAAAATTTAATTTTAAGATATTTTATGGAGTAATTGTACATTCTAGAATTGAATGTCTAAAATGGGAAGGATTGTGTTTTAATGAAGGTTTTTCTTCGAAATTTTTTTTTGAAATTTCTTTCAAAATAAAGACCCAAACCCGAAAAATATTGGCTGAAATATTTTAATATGCAAATGACATTTCATCTGAAAAAAGCTAATTCAGTTGGGTTGAATGATGCCAAAATCATTACGATCAGAAACCTGTCAGATTTGATAGTTTAGCTTAACATACTTAACTTATCAAAATCTATCCATTCATATTGATTTGGTGTTATTCCTTCGCTCATTTAGCTTTGCAAATTTACGGAATATTTATAGAAAAATTAATGGATCCCAGATAGATCCTAGTTCCCAGATGTGGGATCCCAGATAGGTCCCATAGAAGAAAAAAATTAGTGAGAATTTGACAGGCCAACTTGAATTTAGTTGAATATATGTAAATATAAATATTAAATTTAGTTAGTCACAATATTGTTGGCATTATTAACTTTGTAATAATTATTTTAAATACATCTTTATATGGTTTGGCTTTTTTTACCCATTAATTTCAAAAAATAATTTATTTATAGTTTTAAATTTTTTAAAAGTGAATACTGCGAAATTTGAAAAATATTGTACAATAATTTGTAATATAGGTTTAGTGGTAGCTATTGGATTCAGGCAACGGTAAATTCTAAATTATTGAAAAAATATTTAACAAAAATTTTATCGGAAAAATTATTACAACTTCCATAACTAAGGATTTTCAGGAATTTGAACAAAAGTATGGAATTACATATAGTAAAGCGTTTGGTCCCTTACCCAGTGCTTCGTTGTTTAGTTGTTGTTATAGGCAGAGTCGCGCATGCTTGCAATCATGTGTGAACTCCGCAGAAAATAGGTGAATCGCACGCAGTGGGGAAATAGAGGGAGAACTCTTCCCTATAAGACTCGATGGATTGGCCAGCCAGCTTACATACTTCCCTATTGCTTTCCCAAGGATAAGTTAGCGGCGATGTTTAGCTTAGATAATGGGCTGCTAATAACTCTCTGGGAATGGCCGTTTGTGGCGTTCTTTGCCTTTTCTCTGGGAACTTCCGCTACTTAGAGCAAAGTTAAAAGCGACATTATTGTTCACGTGATTTCAGGATGATCCTTGCCTTACAATATTATAAGTACATTAACAATTTAAAATCTGGGCAATTAAAATATCAATACCTTAAATTATTTTAGCCTTTTCTGGCTCAAACGATTCAAAAATTTAATTCCCAACAGAATTAAGCTTATAAAATTATATCGGCTCTTGTCCAGTTTATGCGTCCCATGAAAGTATATGCGTCCCATCAACAAAAAATTGGATATTTCTTGGTGTTGCAAAGTAGGGGTATGGTTCCAAAGCATTTCTTCATGTTCGGGATATACGTCCACTGGGTCTGGGACCGTTCCTTACCCTATACCTCGAAATTTCTGAAAGTTATAGCCAATTTTTAAAAATTTCAGAAAAACGATTTTAACTTTCAGAAATTTCGAGGTATAGGGTAAGGAACGGTCCCAGACCCAGTGGACATAGATCTCGAACATGAAGAAATGCTTTGGAACCATGGACAAGAGCCATTATATCATTTTAAAAATCTTAAGACAAACAAACATTGCGAAACTAAAATAATTTTACCCCTACTTTGCAACACCAAGAAATATTCAATTTTTTGTTGATGGGACGCATATACTTTCATGGGACGCATAAACTGGACAAGAGCCATTATATCATTTTAAAAATCTTAAGACAAACAAACATTGCGAAACTAAAATAATTTTAGGTATTTAATTAAAATATATCGAAGTGTACTATTTACAATAACTGATTCTACAACAGTAAGTAAATAGAATATTTATACCTATTTATGTACATATATCAGTGCCGGAAAAAGGATTAGGCCAAAGATGTTAAATTAATTATTTTCGATTATTTCTTTTTTTTGTTTTCTTTTGAAAAAAAAGATTTAATACAAAATTTGTAGGCATTTGAGTGCATATGTATACTACTCAATTTTTGGGGTGGAAAAAAGATAGGACCAAACTAGTTTAAAAATCCAAATTTTTGTTCGGCCATAAATTCTATAATAATTTTCATTAATATTTTTATTGATATTGAGTAGAAAAGGAGCATAGTCCGTAACTTATTTCTTATTAATTTCTGTTAGTTTTTTTCGCATAATTTGAGGAGAGGAAAATTTGTGCGGTTGGCCAAATCTTTTTTAACGGCATTATATAGTATATACATATTAATTAATTAATTTAACAAAAACAGATGTTTATTTGCTTTATTATTTTTTTATTTATTTGGGAATATTTACTTCTTACAAATAAAGAATTAAATAGTAATGAAGTTAGAAATAATAATGACAATGAAGGAAATTTAGTATTTTTAATAAAAAAATTTGTATATATTTTTTTATTTATTTAGAAAAATGAAAGGAACCGACTTAAATTAATACAGGTATTATTTACTAAATAGATTAGGGGGAATTATTAAAATAAAATATTAATTTAATTTTTATATAAAATAGTATTTTATTAAATTTAAATGAATTAGTAGGGGTGTCAATTATATGGAAATCCATATTTTTTTCCTGAATTCCTATGACTACGAAATGTACGAAAAACATGTTTTTGGCTTGTTTTAGGGTTTCCAGAATGGTCTTTAAAATCCGTATTTTTCCATATTTAGCCTTTATATTAGAGTTGCACCCCGACCCCGTACCCCGAACCCCGACCCCCGTTCCCGAAAGATTTTTCCAAAATTTCCCCGACCCGAACCCCGCCCCGAAAAAAATGAAAACCCCGTCCCCCGACCCGAAAAAGTTTCGGGGTTTTCGGGGTATACACCCCTAAAAACGCCATTTTTAAGGAGAATTTAAAGAGAAAAATTTTAGAAACTTCCTCCCAATTTGCTTTGCCTTTATTATTTTTGTAAGAAAATTGAATGAAATATCAATATTGTATTTCCATATTAACTAACCGACTTGTGGTTGAGTGGTTTAGTTGTTGGTTTTGTCTATATTTCCATTCATATAGGGTAGGAATATAGGGTGAATGAAATATCAATATTGTATTTCCATATTAACTAACCGACTTGTGGTTGAGTGGTTTAGTTGTTGGTTTTGTCTATATTTCCATTCATATAGGGTAGGGTTCGGATCCAAATAAGGAGAACCCGTTTGTTTTGTTATTTTTCTTTACAAAAACAAGCGTTAAATTTTAATTTTAAAAGTTTAATTCCATTTTTAAATATTATCAACCATAAATTTTTAGTTTAGTCTAAAAATTCTAAAATTTTCGTCTGTGGCTCTAAAAAGGAAGATTCTATCCCTTGAACCACTCTTAATCCTTCGAAACCCTTATATCAGCAGATATGTCAGTTAATCTCTATAAATCTTCCATAATCCGCCCAAATTTATTTATTATCCCAGATAATTATCTCCCCAGATTAAAAACTAATAAAAGATCCGTAATACTTCTATATCCTTCTAAATCAATGATATCCCTTGAGACCAACAAAGATCACTCCAGATCCTCTTGCATCCCTAGATATACCATTTAATCCCTAAAATCCCACTTAATCCCTTCAGATCCGCTTATATCCCCAGATAAACTCTTTAATCCCTTCAAATCCAATTTAAAGTCTCAAAATCACACTTTATTTTTGAAAAAATTAACGAAAATAGACCAAAACTAATTATTTTTTAACATTTTTTTCTCTAAAAATTTTTTTACAAAAACCCCGTACCCCGACCCGAACCCCGACCATATTTTGGTCCCCCGACCCGTACCCCGCCCCGAAACAATTCGAAAACCCCGTACCCCGACATACCCGCCCCCGAGCGTTCGGGGTGCAACCCTACTTTATATCCATATTTTATATCAATATTTCTCCATTTTTTGAATATTTTGTTCCATATTTGGTCATATTTAGGTAAATTTCAGTAAAAATTGGCGAAAATTTTCAAAATTTTTGGTCAAAAAATTTTTTCGAAAATTTTTCGGAAAAATTTATTTTCAGAAAAATTTAACAAAAAAATTTTAAATCCATAAATTCATTTAGAACGTTCTTAAAATGCAAAGTTAAGGCAAATTTATTGTTTTCTACATAAAATACTGATTTCTAAAATATTTTTTCAATATATTTTGATCCATATTTCAGGATTTTTATCTACATATATTTTATGCCCATATTTTTCGATTTTATATCCATATAATTGACACCCTTATTAATTAGGCTAAAAATAAATTAAAAAGTGTCTTTGTTAAGGAGTCTTTTGAGGTTATTTATTTTTAAAAATTTATTCAGATAATAATTGGTTATGGCACTTGCACACTTCTCGTTTATGGAGGGCATTCATTCTTTAATGCTGGTTATTAGAAAATTAATATCCATTTAGAGATATTTTTTAGAAAATAATGGATTTGCTAATTCTCTTAATTTTGGCATATTTATAATTAACGTTGTTGCCCTTTTCTGTAAATTTCTTTTTGTTAGAATTTAAAATTTTTTTAAAGTTTTGAATCTTTTAAATGCCATAATTAATCGAATGGAACGTATTTGTTCAGTTATTGGGGTTATTTTGTTCATTATTGCTTTTGGAATAATTACTTGGTTTTCTTAATAAATTTAATTAAAAAATATTAAATATTTAAAGGCATTTAATTAAATATGAAGTTGGCCGTAATTATGTTATAATTTTAAAGGCCTTAATTGGAATTCAAATGACTGCTTTCATTTGGGATTACCAAATTCTTGGGCACGCTTTTTAATTAAAAATATTTTAATTGAACTTAAATAAATATACATAAAATTAAACATTTAATACTAAACATTGTTTCTCTTAAATAATTTTAAATATACAGTCATCGACATAAAGATAGGGACAAGAGTAATTTAAATGAAAATTAACTATTTCTCAGTCGAAAAATACGATCTATATATCAATCGAAAGCTCTATTCGTATCTCAGTTGACATGTTTCTGCATTTTTCATGAAAATGAAAATCGGCCGAGATAATCCGGATCTACCGGATATACCAAATCCCATAGCCTCGGAAAAAATTTTCGGAAAAAAATTAACAAACCCATTTGATAAAGCATATTTTTGTGAGTATTTTCCACAAAACCGCTTAGAAATATCTTTTTCCGGGACGGAGATATGATTTTTTGAAAATGGCATTTTTCCCTTAAAAATTGAATTTTTTGCAAAAATAGGCTAAAAATGCCATTTTCAAAAAATCATATCTCCGTCCCGGAAAGAGATATTTTTAAGCGGTTTTGTAGAAAATACTCACAAAAATATGCTTTATCAAATGGGTTTGTTAAATTTTTTCCGAAAATTATTTCCGAGGCTATGGGATTTGGTATATCCGGTAGATCCGGATTATCTCGGCCGATTTTCATTTTCATGAAAAATGCAGAAACATGTCAACTGAGATACGAATAGAGCTTTCGATTGATATATAGATCGTATTTTTCGACTGAGAAATAGTTAATTTTCATTTAAATTACTCTTGTCCCTATCTTTATGTCCACTACTGTAATATATTATAAATTTTTATTTTTAACAAAAAATTTAAATTAAATCATATTACGCTAACATACATAGACACTGGAGACCGGATTTGAGTGATCGTTCGATAATATCGATATTTTCCATCGATATATCGTATCGATCCGGTCTCTAGTAGACACTTCCTACACTTAATTAAACGTTTCTTAAAAATGTCTTTAATAGGTTAACCCAACTCTTTAGCAAAAAATTTTATTGAAAAATAAATTAAAAGGAATGTTTAAAAAATGAGAAAAAAAGGTAAATAAATTTTTTTAATATGTTAAATCAAAGTAATCGGCCCCTACAATTATTTGAGCCACAAGAACATAAAATAACTTTATTCGCAACTGACCCAATTTCATACATATAATCCCATGTAATTTCCTAAAAAGCTAAATTTTATTTAATTTATTATCATTTTTTACCTGTCCAGCTTTTACAAATTTTGTTGTGAAAAAAGCACACCAAGGAAATCTCAAATCATGAGTATCAACCTTAAATATTTTTTTAATAAAATATTTTAATTCTAAAAATACCAAGCAATGTTGTATTTGACAATTAGGTTCACAAGAATGATTTAAAAACCGTCCAATATTTCCTGTCTTAGCAGCGTCCACAACAAACAAAAAATTCTTTCCAAAATAATCTTGAAATTCTTTGTCTTTCCAAGGTTTAACTTTAAAAAGAGCAAGAATTTTAATAAATTAAAATAATTTATTTACCTTTCTTCTTTTTATTAATTTTTTGGACATTTGGTTCTTTTAAAACTCCAATTGCTCGTAATCTAAAATTTAATTTGTTTAAATAAAAACAAACATTATTATTAGAATACTAGGGATCGGATTTATATTTAAATAAGGCACAAAAACGACCTTAGTCATGAATAGGGAGTGGCAAAACATGCAAATGCATATTTTGTATGCGGATATGCCATAAGCTGAAACGCTCGAAAATGGTGTTTTTACATCTGTACGAACATTAGGGACCGGGTTCCTATAGCATGGCGCGCCGAAATTTGCGGATTTTAATTTGCGGACCCGAAATTTGCGGACCCGAACTTTGCGGACCCGAATTTTGCGGATCCGAACTATGCGGACCCGAATTTTGCGGATCTGAGATTTGCGGACCAAAAATTTGCGGACCGACAATAGAGTCTACTGAACCTCGGAAATTTCAAAAATTTTAGTCTGCGGCGGTAATTACGATAAATTCAGGCATCATGACCTTATGAAATGGCCATATAAATGATTTTTTAAAGGAATTTTCTTGATTATTTAAATTATGAAATGGCTTTAAGATAGAAAATTGATAAAATTTTGAAAAATCAAGGAAAAATCATGAATCCGATACGGTTCATGGTAAACTCTGTCGGAATCCTCGAAAAATAAAATTATCAATTTTTCCTTTTTACTCAAGTGTCGGTCCTAAAATCTTGGTTCCGCAAAGATAAGGTCCGCAAACTTCGTGTCCGCAACCTTCGGGTCCGCAACTTTCGTTCCGCAAATTTCGGGTCCGCAAAGTTCGGGTCCGCAAAATTCGGGTCCGCAAAGTTCGCGCCACGTATAGCATATTTTTGCATATTTCGGTACTTCAGTGCATATTTGCATATCGATGCATATTCTGGGAAATTTTGCACATTTTTGCCAAAATTTGTGCATATTTTGGCATTTTTTGATAAATTTTAGTAAAAATCGAGCAAAATTTTCAAAATTTTGGAATTTTTTGAGCAAAAAATTTTTTGATAAAAATTTGTTGAAAAAATTTTTTCGAAAAATTTTTCGGGAAATTTTTTTTTCAAAAAAATTTTCTTTGGTTGAATTAAAAGTTAATAAAATCTTTAAGAAGTGCTCTTAAACTGCAATTTAAATGATAAATTTGTATTTTTTATTGAAATATTGATTTTTAAAGCACATTTTCATTATTTTCGCTGCATATTTAGTACATATTTCGGCAAATTTGGCATATTTTGGTGCATATTTTGGGCTTTTTCGGTGCATATATATGCGCATATTTTGGGATTTTCCGTGCATATTTTGCCACTCCCTAGTCATGAACAAGCCTTGACTGACCAGTATCTGACCATTGACTTCAAATAGAAGACAGAAATGACCAGTGATTAATGTGATAAAAAATGGAAAGATGGTGGTCAATTCGTGGGCAGGGTCGCTTCAGTGATCTATTTAAATATAAATCCGATCCCTATTTATTACTGATCATCCATTTCCGAGATTTGCTCATTTTCTTCCAATTGTTGACTAGTTGAAGGCTCAACAAAAGCTTCATCATCATCCTCATATGTCAAATCAATCTCAGAAACATTTCTACTTTTTTGAGTTTCCGAAACTTAAAAATAAACTCTAATTTTTAAAAAATTCCCTTCAAAACCTTCATCATCTCCATAACCTTCATCAGTTATATAATCAATCCCTTGCTGTCTCTTTTCACGCTCTACAACATCAATTAAATCCAAATCGGCAAAATATATATCGTTTTGTAGACTATCTGCAACTTCTTCGTCAATAAGTTCACCAGCATATGTACAGACCTTTAAACAAATTTTTTTAAATTTAAAATCAAAAAATCTCACAAAAGTCCCTTCAGGAATATCGACAAGTGTGCGAACACCCCAACCCTTATCAGCAGTCATAAACATCTAAAAATGATTCTTTAAAACAAAATTAAAAAAAAATACTGATAGAGGTATTTGAAGGTCTTGCTGAACAACGCGGTTGAAACAAGTTAATCTATTGCATTTACAGTTGGAATTACACTAAAAACTTCTAATTTACTTATTTAATTTTTCAAAATTAACCTCATAAATACCACTAATATGTTTATTTTCCAATCTTCGATGATTATATCCTTTAGGTGAGGACTTTGGAACTTTTAAAGACTCGCTCAATTGATTTTGTGCTTCTATAGTTAATTGACGACATTCACAATTATCACTCGTGCAGTCATCTTTTTAATTAAAATAAAAAAATAAAAACAAAAAAATACCTATACAAGTACAGCCAGTACAGAAAAATGGACTAATAGATTCCTCAACAAGTTTGTTTCCACCTAAAATATTTTTATTTTTTAATTAACATAAATCTTCTCGAAAAAACTCCACCTGGTTCCATCCTTTTTATTCCAGTTCTCCTCGGTCGATAAATCATCTAAAAAAGATAACAATTCAGAAAAATGAGAATAAAAAGTCTTAAAAATAAAAAAAACAAACAGCAGGCAAAGGGGCATTCTCCACAGCATTAACTAAAGGTATAGGAATTGCTTCTTGACCCTACAAATAATTTTAAAAAATTAAAAAAAATTTTTTAACCGATGTAAAATCTTCCAAAACAACATTAGCCAATTTAATTCTAATTTCAGGCTTAACTTGAGGATCAAAAGTAAACATATCAATTGATAAATTTTGTTGCTTTGTAAGTTGTAAATACTCAGCAATTTGTTCGATAAATGAAAGTTGAATTCCGCAAGGAGTTTTATAGACAATTTTCTTTTTGACTGTAAAATATTTTTTGACAGAACTTTTGGTGTTGGAATCACAAGCAAGGTTGAGTGTCTAAATTAGATTTGAATAGTGGAAATTTAAGTTTTAGATTTGTTGGGACATGGAAAATTCTGATTTTTTAAAAAAATCCGTTATGGTTGATATGTAATAGATAGCTTATAAAAGTAAAGAAAACTGAAGATATGATATACATGGCAGACAAAAATGACATTTATCGATACCGATACATATTGACATTCCAGTCTATCCGGAACTTTTGCCTACGGAACTCGATTTTACGGTCTATCTAATAAAAATTGTTACAAATAGCAAAGAACATAAATGCAAAACCCGTCGTTTATCAAAACAGATATTATCAATAAAATCCAAAGTCCTATCTCTATTAAAAACCAATTTAAAATTACCAATCTAGCCCATCCATTTAGTAAAGGAATAGAATATGGAGAGTGGTAGCGATCAGGATATTTTGTAACTTTAATTGAACTCAAACAGACAGGTGAACATGTCAATCTAGTTGCTACATTACCACTAGTTTTATGAAAATTTTTTGGACAAATCCATTTTGGAATAGCAATACGTTCCTCTTGGACCTAAAAAATTAAAATAAATTTAAAATAAAAAAATAATAAACATTTGAAGTTAATTGTTTTCGTTTTAAAAGTGTTCCAGAAGATCTTGTTTGCATTGGTGGCAATTCAATAGATTGCTGTTTTGATGACTTTCTTGCCGTTTGGTGCCTTATTTCTTGCATTATTTGAAATGATTTGTATAAATCTACACTATTGAGTGGATGAGCCATTTCGAATTGCCCCATTTTACGTCCAGTTCTAACAAGAGGTCTCTGAAAAATTAAAAAAAAATTATTTAATTTAAAAACAAACCCCAGATAAATGTTGTTGAGTATTTTGGTTATTTTGAGTAGAATGTTGATTATAATTTGTTGAAAGGGCAAGAGTTGGAAAACGTAAAGGATTTCCTCGATATACCCATTCATCATTGTGGGCATGTTCTGAAAGTTTTTAATTAAAAATTAAATTTAGAATTAGTGTAAAAATTTAAAAAATGATCTTATGTTAAATACGAAGACATTGAAAAATGTAAATGAAAAAATAAAATAAAAAATAACCTTTACAATTAATAACCACACAATCTTTAATATTTTTAACAACATTAGATTGAATTGAAGGCCAAGCAGCTTTATTCATTCCAGGAAAACGAAGAAGAGCAAGTTGCCTATCAACATCCAAAACGAAAGCAGAATCGTTTAAACCATTCCGAATTGCCTTTAAAAGAACCAAAAAATATTTTTAAGATTAAAAAAACCAAAATTCTTTGCATATTTTCAGTTTTCTTAAGTTGTATCAAAGGCCAGTCAGGATAACAAGCAAGATAATGACTAAATAATGAACATATTAATCAATTAAGGGCATAACCAGGGGGCTAGGGGGATGATCAAAAAAGTGAAAAACATGTTAGAAAAATTTAAAAAAACATTTTAAACACCCCATGTTAGACCCCCTCCCCTCCGAAACCGACCCCTGACAACGCCCTTGAAATTAATTAAATATAAAATAAACCGAATAAATTCAGCTCTAGTTGAATTCACAACATTTTTAAAAGCAAGCCTTGGTTGGAATTTTTGGTTATCATCCAATGGCTGGTTAAACATTAAACGAATATCTGTTGGTTTGACATAAGCATCAATCCCATTGTCAAAGAAAACCTTTAAAATAATTTTTAAGAATCAAAAAATCCTTACCAAATATTCAAAACGATTTTGGCTAAAAGGTTTAACGGCAATTGTGCCTTCAAAATAAGAAGCTGACAAAGAACCAATTTGAATAGCTCCACGTTTACATAAAGCAACAACACGAGTACCTTCCGGACAGCGAATAGTTGGTGCATCCCCCATTGCTAATTGTGATGATTGAAGTAAAGAAGTTGTTGTAGTGTCTAAATAAAATAAAAAACTAGAATAAATTGAAAAATTCCAAAAATTAACCTTCAGAAAGTAAAAATCCTTTTACTTGACAGAGGCCGACGGAATCCTAAAATTTTTTAAAATTTATAGTTAATTTGCAAAAAAAACCTTTTTAATTAATTTACACTTTGCAAACCCATTTGTATAAACTTCATTATTTAATTTTGAGATGGGCGCAAAATAAAATTGATTTTCTTCCAAAATTAGATGCTCATTTAAATTTGCTTGAGATAATTCTTGTTCAAGCCAATTTGGCCATTTCTTTATTCTTTCATTGAAAATTACTAAATCATCCTTAAATTAATTTTAATATATCCAAAAAATGTTAAAAAGGGGAATTAACAAATTATTTAATTGAAATTACTGAAGCAATCAAAAAAATGAAAAATTAAGGCTGTTAATTAGTTAGTGGTCATTAATAAAAATCAAAGTCGGAAAATTTTTTTGACCCAAAAAAACAATTTTGATATATTTTAAAATTCTTTAAATATTCTAAATAAATTTAAATAAAAATAAAACCTCCAAGTTTTCAGAATCAGATTCTGATGAATCCGAAACAAATGTTTCAATATTATATTTATGATCAGGTACACGACTCTTAAAAAATAAATTAAAAAAAAATAATTTTTTAAAATAAAATACTAAAGCCTGATTTATTTCATTCATTTTATTTATCATTTCAGTTGTTATTCTTTGATGTTCATTCGAATTTTCAAATAAATTATCTAATTCATTAATAATTTGATTATTCCTAAAAAATTCGGTTTTTAGAATAAAAAAACAAAAAAACACAATAAAAGAAGAAAAAAACAAACACTTTTCTGCACCGATTTTTTAGCGCAGAAGACACAAAAATTTTAAGATTTTAGAAAAGCCTTAGGCAAAAAAATTCACTTCTTCCTTAATCCTTTTTCCAAATTTTTCCTTTTTCCCATTTCGGAGTGGGGGTGTATTCCTGGATGAATACTTCAAAAAAAATTTTTAAATCCCAGAAAGGTTTGGAGAAAAAGACAAATGTTAAAAGTGTTTGAAAATCAACCAAAAATTAATTTTAAAAAAACAACGAACCTTTCAATAATATTTAAATCAATTCCAGAATAAATATCCAAATGTTCATCAAGTAATTGATTAAAATCATTTTCAGCCTGTTGTAATTCTGAGTTTGTAATTTTACTTGCAAGAGGCGGAAAAGTTAAATATGGCTCAAAAAGACGAGCAACTGATGGAAATTCCAATTCTGTCCAAATAATTGTTAGTAATAATAAAGCATCGCAAGGAGTGATTAAAAGATTCTAAAAAAATTATTTTTAAAAATAAAGAAAAAAAAACGTTGAGAATGAGCTATAAAAATAAAATAATTTTAAAATAATCTCTATATCAGGTATCTAAAAAACTGGTGGGAGCCAAAATCAAACGCAGGATGTCTCACATTTGGTTAAAGTTTTTCTAGGTTTTTTTGTATTGAACGCCCCCCCCCCCCCCCCGAAATAAAAAAATTTGGGGAGGCAATTGGGCACAAAAGTGAATTTTTTTTGGCCTATAGCCTTCTAAAATTCTCAAAATTTTCGCCTGTGGCGCGAAAAATTCGGCGCAGAAAAACTCCCGCCACTTGCCACCTCCCCAAAAAATCCTGATAACGGGCCTGTTAGGAGTTAAGGGGTTTAAATTCAACATAATTTTATTAAATCGAAATTATATTTTATTGAATTAAAAAATAATTTCCTAAAATTCCTAACAAAAAAAATTAAAAAAAACCCTCACAGAAAGTAATTCATCCAAATCATCAATTTCTTGTCCATCAATTAATACTTCAATTAATTTAATTATTTTATATTCATTTAAAGCCAAAAATTTAATTAATTTTGTTAAATCCGTAGGTTTTGTTTTATCACTCCAAAGATGTTTACAAATAGCCAAAACAACTTCAAAAATATCCAAATTAAATGCATCCATGATATTTTTGATAATTTCATCAATTATTGAATTATTGTAAAGATTAAATATTTTTTGGATTAAATCATCTGTAAGTCTCTAAAAATTGAGGGAAAATAATTTATATCAAATTTGGGTAATAATTGAACTTGACAGACCCCATTTCTCCTCCTCCTCTCCCCCTTCTTCCCTGTATATTTGCAGAATGGTCAGACTTCTTCCTTCAATTTTCCTTACTTCCATCCAAGGGGGAATAAAAATGAATTCCTTTTGATTGTTTGTAAAGAAAATATAGAAAAGCAATTGGGATGGAAGGAAAAGTCTGACCATTCTGTAGGTATAGAGGAAAAAAACTTGGGGAGGAAAAAATGGGGGTTGTTAGGTTCAATATTACCCAAATTTGTTTTTAAATAATTTCTAGGCGTAAAATACTCAAAATTAAAAAAATAAAAACTTATTCTAAGTTGCTAGTTTGTATAAACTAGTGCGGTGCGGGAGGGATCCCGGAATCCCGCGATTTAAGCGACAAACGGGATTACCGGGATTGATCCCGCGAGATCCCTCACGTCCGATCTTTTGAAACTCAATCCCGTTACGGGATATGGGAGAGAGATTTGCCTCATTCTAGTAAAAACTACAAAAATCGACCACTTATAATCAGAAATTTCAAAAAATTCAAAATTTACATTTTTATTTCCGTCAAATTTTGTTGAAAATTTTTCAAAAAGTTGTTTTGTTTGGTAAAGCAAATTTTGTTCTTCCTCAGAATTAAGTATTCGAATTCTTTCGCGTAATTTGCTAGTTGTAGGTTTAATATCACATTCTGCAGGCAAACAATCGAAAGACATTTTGAGAAAAAATTGCGGAATCAATTGATATAACTAAAATCTAAAATTATTTTAAAGGAAAAAGTTTAAACAAAATTTATCAAACAGAAAAAAATAATTTGCAGATTTGAGCTCGAAAAAACGAAATTCCAAACTGAAACGTCCTGTGTTCAGACTTTTTGACAACAAAAGAGGACATTTTATCGCAAAGTTTTATTAAAGTACTGTAACAGAGTAAAGTTAGAAAGGAAAATAAGAAATCCATGGCAGAATAAAAAATTGACATGGAGAACGATTAAGTTTAAAGGATTACTAAATAATTCACTCATTCAAAATATTATTTTGAAATCTTTTTATCAGTAAAAATTTAGGAATATATTTTTGTTAATTTTTTGAAAGAATTTATTTAAAATTGAAATTTTTCCATTGGTTTAGCTCAAAGCTTTATTTAATCATTAATGCCAATATTTTTAATCAAGTAAAAATTAAAATAAATCATCAAAAATACAAAATTAGTCACGAAAAAAGTCAAAATTATGTAAAGTAACTGATGAAGAGGATTTTTTAGAAAATTTTAAAAAATTTTCTTAAAGATTTTTAAAAAATGAAGACTTTCCTGAAACTTCCTAGAAACCAATAATTCTCTCGAGAAAAACTTTTGATTTTTGATATTGTCAATGCCACTTTTTGAATTTTCTGTCAAAAATTTGTGAAAAACTGCTAGGAAGTTAAAAATAGTCTGAAATAATCAACAAAAAAGTCAAGCTAGGGAGACTTTTCGTTCAAAAAACATGTTTTTGAGCATCTTACCTTAAACGAGGTAGCAGAAAACGAAATTATTTAATTAGAAATCTTGACTTAGTATTGTAAAGCATATAGCTAACACATCAGTCCGGTCTACTGAAGATGCTGGTTCGCTCCCAATCGCCGATTAACCTTTTGCACCAGCTAAAGGAGAGTAATAGCTATAGCCCAGCTGCTTTATTGTATTAATTAATTATATTTTTAGAATTTTTTAAAAGAAAAACCCCAAAACATGTTTAAAAATTAAAAAATAAAACCCTCGTGATTCTCCCTCTCTATATAAAAATTAATAACATCGATAATCAATATTTGATTTGTGTATTGCTCTCATGTGAAAAATTAAACAAAGAAAATTTTCATTGCTTTTTTTTAAAAAGCCCTCTCCTCTCAATGGCACTCGCAAATTCTTAAAAAAATTTTCCCTCCTCCCTCCATAAAATAATTTTTAATTTTTCCCTCCTCCCTCCATAAAATAATTTTTAATTTTCCCCCCAAAAACATGTAAAATGCCTTTAGCTAATTTATTATTTTCCTTATTAATTTTGTTTTTAACAACAATATTGCCTAGCTATACAGACCCATTTACACAAGAACAAGCCGATTGTGTTGCTAATTATCTTTTAATTAGCAAGAATTTTAAAACAAAAATTTTTGCCGAGGAATTTGGCGAAGATTGGAGAATTCAGAGAGGAATTCCTAGAGAATTATTGGAGAATCTGGAAATAAAGAGAGAAGAAATGACTGAATTAATGGGTAAAGATTATGCTGTTCACTGTTTTGCAAAATTAGGTAAACAAAATGAAGAGAACTTTTTAGTTGAAGATATTAAAACTACACCAGGAAAAAAGTATTTAATTTTATCGAAGGATTTTTAGGACAAATTATGTAAGTATTTTCTTGAACTTGAAAACGGGTTGGGATTTGAAATGTAATAAGGGGTTTCGAGGGCTTCCTTCCAATTTTTGAGTTCTTCAAGAATTCGACTTGTGCAACTTTTTTAGTATACCGTATTTTCTCGAATAATTCCCCGAGGGAATTACTTTTGGTACTTTTCTGTTTTGTGACCACACTTTAAAAGTGTTTAAAAAGAGTCATGAATATGGACAAACTATTTGTCATTCGAAACAGCTCTTCGAGCTGAGTCGAATGACATCAAAATCATGTGGGGTTCGAAATGGTACGGGCTCGAAATGGTCAAAAGATACAATGATCAAAATGGTCAAAAATCATGAATATGACAAAATGTATGTCTTTTGAAAGAGCTCGACGAGCTGAGTCGAATGGCACAAAAATCAGCGTGATCGAACAAGATTGGACAAAGTTATGATCGTATGTATTAGCTCCTTACCTATCACATCTGTGGAGGTTTTGCTGCTGCGCAGGAAGCCTGAGATGCCCGCCTCGTAATGATAGGAATAGGATGATGTTACGAGCCCAGAACCCAGCGACCGTAGACTCCCCGCGAGGCGCGTGACGCAAAACCCCGCGCGAAGCGCGGGGTTTTGCACAAGCGCCTCGCATACGCCCCATAGGTTTATGTTGACCATTTTGAACCTGTTTATCTTGGCTCAGAATCAAGATCTCAATCTAATTTTTATGTCATTCGACTCAACTCGAAGAGTCGAATGACACTCAACAATGAATATACTTTGTCCATATTCATGACCTTTTTTAAACATTTTTAAAGTGTGGTCACAAAACAGAAAAGTACCTTACTTTTTTCAAACCTTCCTTGCCATGGGGAATTAATCGAGGGAGGGGAATTATTCGAGTTTTGGCATTTGAACGTGAGTAGGGTATTTGGGGGTGGGGAATTATTGTTTCAACCCAACTTTAGAATAGTGAACGAGAGGGGGAATCATTCGAGGGAGGGGAATTAATCGAGAAAATACGGTATTCTTTATGTATTACCCAACTAATACATATTCGGTCTTAATTGGAAATAAATGGATGAATAAAAAGAGATTTTTGTTTTTTACCCTAAACTAATATTTTTCAAAATTTCCATTACTTTTCCCTATTTTGGCACTATTTTAAAAAAGTGTTAATGATTGTTTTATCTTATATAAATAATACATATTTTAGCACTACAATCTTTGTGTTTGACCAATTTTTTAATGGAAACTTTTGGTTCTAAATTTATTAAAGTAATAGCTTTGCCATCTTACATTAAAGATGAGCCATCTTACATTCATAATGAAGAAGTAGCAGTTTTAAATCATTTTAAAAAATTATGGGAGAATAAATATTACGTTTTTCGTTTTAAGTTGACATTTGAAATTTTTTTAAGTTTAGACGATTATAAAAGAGGTACTCAAGAATTTGAGAAAATCGAAAAATGTTACGAATATTTTAATCTAAAAGGGTAAATTTTATTAAAAAATTTCTACCGAACCTCCCAATATTTTTAGGATTAATAAGAAGAATGTTGTCGATGACGAAAATATTTTTCAACATATGTGGAATCATTTCGATTCTGAGCAATATTTTCTTAAAGAAATTCCGGAATGTATGAATTAAAAAATATTTCAATTTTTAGGAAAAATTATTACTTTCAGTTTTTTCATTTTAATATCTATGTATGTAGCATAATTTCATTTAATAATTTAGTTTTATTAAATTAAAAAAATAAATTTATGTCTCTACGACATTAACACAATTATTATTATGAATATTTTTTAAATTTTCAGTTGATGGAGAAATTGATATTGATAAAAGTTATTTTGCGGATTGTGCTATTTGTTTAGGGAAAGTATACGAGAATGAACAACAGTTGAAAAATTGCAAAGTTTTTATTATTTGATTTATTAACATTTTTAATTTTTAGCATGTTTTCCATAAAGATTGTATTCAACCGTGGTGAATATTTTGTTATTTTTAAATGTCCAAATTAGGAAGTGAACCTCTTAAAATTCCTTAATTTTTAAAAATTGCACTACACTTTCATGGAAAATAAAAAATCTTTAAACAGTTTTTATTATGGTTGTAGAACTAAACTTGTGATTTTTTCAATGATTCAGGCTTAGATCACAGCAGATATGCCCGATTTGTCGGGAAGATACACAAGCTAATGAACTTGAAGCTCAACCTCAAATTGAAAATCCGGAACCAAACAACCGAGCGCAAAGAAATGCTCATAGAGGCTTTCGAGGTATGTAATGACATTGTTACTTTTGGGAGAAAAAAGGGCGAAAATTTTATGAGTTTAGGGTGTTCATAAGATGAAATTCACACGTCCAGTTGATAGAAATTACAATTATTTTTGGAAATACATATGTATATAAAAAAACGAAAATTTCTTATTCTTTAAAAAATTCCCTATTCGTCAAATTCCCTATTAATTCTTTAAAATTCATGAATCACATACAAACATATTTCCAGATCAAATTTTTTTAATTTTTAACTCGCAAATGGTAAATACTTGACTAGAAAGTCTACACATTTATTAAGTAAGATCACCGAGAAATGACAACCATTAAATTTTTAATAATTATTTTTTAAATTTATTAGGACGTATAAATCGTTTACTGCGAAGAACTTGAACAATGAAAAAGAAGTAAAAGACCTCCTGAAAATTAAAAAGTTTAGAGACAGATTACTTGTAGTTAACACCAGTGCTGTACATGGCTCCGAGGCTAGCTCTAGACACAGATTTAACTGAAACCGTAGCTTAATTTTAAAAATACCCGGAGCTGAGATCGAGATAAGATTGCTAAAAACCCGGAACTGAAGTTCAACTTTTAAACTTCTCCATATCAAAAGAATGGAAGAGTGAGTGTTTAAGATGTTGGACTTCAATTGCAAGCTATTTGCTTATTGTTATTCTAATAGATAACGAATCCAACCTTGGGAACAAGCTGTCTAATTAATTTATTTTTATTGGGAAATTATTTTTTATTCAGAAAAAGTTAATTTCTCCGTCCTCTGAAAATTAGCTATCAATCTTCTACCCAAAATCGGAGTGGTTCAGAAAAACTCAGACTCCAGAGCTAGAGGGGTTGGAGCCGGAGCCACCAAATGTACAGCACCTAAATTTTTATTTTATCTTTATTAAATTTATTTTCACTTTGCTTTATTTAAAAATGTTAATACTGTCCCCCGAACATAGCATAAATTTATTTATTTATTTATTTATTCAAGAATAAAAATGACAATGAAAGGGATGGACACTTACATCATTGTCTTAAATAAAATATATGATATTTGGTCAATAATAATAAATTAACTGAATAGTCAACAAAAATAATCATAAGGAAGGGATATTGATACACAGATACACAACTAAGTTAATTGTAAAATTGCACTGGTGAGAAGTGAACTGCGTTACGTTTAACACCAGGCATGCAAGTCTGAAAAAACAGCAAAATAAATTATAGTAAATTTAATTTTAAGATTATTTTAGTCTAAAAAAAATAAAAAATTTAAATTAAAAATCCAAACAACTAAGAAATGCTTAAGTATAAAAAGTACAGACAACAGCATAAGGAATAAATCGATTAGGCCACTTTGACGCCAAGCCCACTTAGACGCAAAAAATAATAAATTAATTTGAACATTTAGACGGGAAATAAAAATGAATTAATTTGACCATTTAGACGCGAAAATAAAAATAAATTAATTGACCATTTAGACGCAAGCCTACTTGAAAAATAAGGCAACTTAATTTGGCCACTTAGACGCAAAGCCGATTTAAACGAAAAATACAGTTTTTAGCTTTGTATTTTGATAGACTGGATGAGTTTAATTAATTTTTTTAAGAACATTCAGTTTATTTATACAATAAGTATTGACTTAAGCTTATTTTTAAAATCTAATGGTGATTTACTTAAAATAGTATTTTTACCTAGTATATTCCACATCTTAGTTGTTCTATTTATAAATGATCTAGAACTTTTAGAATTTTGTTTTTTTGAAATAATTCTATGAGAGGAATGGCTAGATTTTCTAATAGGATGAGAAAAGAGTGTTTCAAGTCCTAAGTGAGAATAACCATTAACTATTTTGTACATAAGCATTAAATCAAAAATTTTTCGTCTATTCTCAAGTGTTTGAAGGTTGAGATATTCCAGTCTATTCTCATAGGGTAGTTCAGGTAAATTACATTTTTTAAAGATTATTTTAGTAAAAAATTTTTGGCATTTTTCAAGAGAATTAATTTCTGTTTTGTAAGGAGTGTTCCAAGTTTCGGGTGCGTATTCAAGCATAGGCCTAATATAACTCTTATATATCAGTATCCAAGTTGATGTTTTTCTTGACTTTATAATTCTAAATATTGTTTTCATCCTTAGATACGCGTTGCGAATAATTATATTAATGTGTTCTTTAAACCTAAGCTTGTCGTCTATGATTATTCCAAGGTCACGAATAGATTGAACTTCATTTATCGTATTATTAAAAATCTTATATTGATCCCTTGGGTTATTTTTACCCAAATGAAGTACGAATGTCTTATTAACAGATATATCTAAATTCCATTTTTTTGACCATTCTTCGACATTTTTAAGGGTAACTGCTAGTTCTAGTCTTTCATTTTTAGTCTTATAAACTTTATAAATTTTAACGTCATCAGCAAATAGTTTAATTTTGACTCCATTTGGAATAACGTCGGATAAGTCATTTATATAGATTAGAAACATCAATGGGCCAATAATCGATCCTTGGGGAACACCCGTGGTAATTCCATATGGGTTTGATAAAACATCATTAATTTTTACTTGATATGTTCTATCTGATAAAAATTCCCTAATCCACCTATGTAGTTTTCCCCTAATTCCACAAGCATATAATTTGTCAAGAAGGAATTTGTGAGGAACACTATCGAAAGCTTTACAAAAATCAATATAAATACAATCTATATTCTTTTTCTCAAATAAGGCTTCGTACCAATCCTCCAAACTACTTACTAGCTGAAGTGTAGTGGATCTTCTTAGAATAAATCCAAATTGATCCGAACTAAAAAACTTTTTATTATCTAAAAAATTTACTATATTTTTTACAATTATTTTTTCCATGATTCTGCAGATACAGCAAGTAAGTGAAATTGGACGATAGTTTAACGGATTAGATTTTTCGCCTTTTTTGAAAATAGGAATAACTATTGATTTTTTCCAATTGTGTGGTATAATGCCTTCATCCAAAGAAACTCTAAATAATTCAGATAAATGAGGGGCCAAAATAATGCAAATATTTTTTAGCATAACATAATTTATGCCATCTGGGCTTGCGCTGTTTTTTGATGGTAACGCTTTTAGAATTTCATAAACTTCAATACTTGTTATATCTATATCATTTAATGCATCAGTAATTTCTGAAATATCGCTAGCAGTAATATCATTGGGAGAACCATTATAGTTAAAGTTGTAGTTAAAATTTTTATGAAAAATTTCTCCAAAAAGTTGTGCTTTTTCATAATTCTCTACATAGACTTTATCCTCAAATAATATAACTGGTATATCTCTATTGTTCTTATAAACCTTATTGACATATTTATAGACATTAAGTGGATTATTTGAAATAATTTTATTTTGTTGTTTACTAATAAAATTCCTTACTGCTATTTTAATATAGAGAGATATACTGTCATATTTTACTTTATGTTCCTTATTAATTTTTTGTAACCTGTATAATCTTTTTTTTTCAGCTATAGAAGCTTTTAAGTGAGCGGGATATTTTATTCTTCGATCTTTTTTGTTTATAATATGTTCAGGGATAAAAATGTCAAAGGAATCTAATATTGAATTAACAATTTTATTATATTTATCCCCAATTTGAAACCCAGTATAAATAGTATTTTTTAATAATAGGGACAAATATGAATTTAAATTAGTTATTTTATTCTTATTATAAAATCGTTTTTTTATTCTATTCTCATTTTGTCTAATTATTGGACAATTAATATTAAATAATAACGTTTCATGATCTGAAGAAAAGATCCCCCCTTCCACTAAAATGTCTGAAACTAAGTTATGGTTTGTAATCATTATTAAATCTAAATATGAATTATTTCTAGTAGGTTCGGGTGTGACTGATGTTAAAGCATTTCGATTAAAAAAATCAATAAAACATTCCCCAAATTTAGATTTAGCATAAGGTGTGAAATTGAACCAACTTAGATCTTTGAGACCGAAATTATAGTCACCCAGGATTATACAATTTTCAGTACAAAGAGTTTCGATATACTTAAAAAGAGATTTGGTACTAGCATAACTAGTGTTAGGTGGACGGTAAAGCTCCCAATATTTTTAGGATTAATAAGAAGAATGTTGTCGATGACGAAAATATTTTTCAACATATGTGGAATCATTTCGATTCTGAGCAATATTTTCTTAAAGAAATTCCGGAATGTATGAATTAAAAAATATTTCAATTT